ACATTGATAACCCGTAGGGCCATGCATCTCAGATTTAACATTGTTAAACGATGCCTTTAAAGCAAATAATTACCGACTACCCTGACGATGGGACAAACTATCATCGCAGAGGTGATCTCGTGGACCCTAGAGAGAGAGAAAAAAGAGCGGGATGATCCGACAATTGTTTCGGGCTTTTTTGCGCGTCAGAGGTATAAGGTTAGGGTTAGGTATAGTATTGTGTGCAGGTATCCAGTTCAGAATCAGGTTAGTGTAGGAAATCACCGAGGAGCATTTTGTTGCAGGAGCACGTGTCATACAACCGGAGCAACAAAGACAAAGATGATAGATCGTTAGATATACAAACTCTCACATCATCTCAGGAACCTGGGCCCTGTTTCATAAAACTCAATACCAATAACATGTTATAAGCTACTGTTATAAGCTACTGAATCCTGGCATCTGATTGGCTGGGAACAAATTTGTCATAGAAATTAAGCAGTTGTTATAGATAACAAGTTTTATGAAACGGGCCCCAGAAAGAGACATCAAGATCACTCAGTGAAGACATTCTTCAAATCGCTAAATCCTCAAACTCCAAAATGAATGCGAGAAAGTGTTGAAATGTGCCCAGACCAACGCATTTTCTTGAGAAACCATGATGAATGCTGTCACAATAAACAAATCAACATGATTCTGACAGACAGAAAAGATAAATCCGTACAACGTGAGAGAAGTTGACATTGACCTGTGGCTCAGTCACACCAAGGAGCCCGACACCAGACCGACGCCAGACCGAGAGGAGACCGAAGGTAACCAGACATCGTCGCGAATAGCCGAACAGTCGGTTTGGCGATGTGACTGATGAATTGAAGGTACTGTCAGTTCTGATCACACCAAACCGAGTCCAAATCGACAAAATGTTGGCCTTTCTACCCCGGTGACACCGAAAAGACCGATACCAGACAGACACAAGACCCGAATAGCCAATATTGTATGGGATTATTGATCAATTTGAGGGTAGTAACCCAGTCATAACGCATATGACTGACGCAAAACCGCAAAAAGACCGACAGAAAATGACATTACCTCCCCCCCCCCCCCCCCTCCCGAATCGGATCGGATCGGTTGGTTGTTGGAATCGGTATGGAGTCGGTATGGCGGTGGGAATGATCATGTCCCAGTCCGGAGTCCCAGTCACACCGCCAAACCACTATAAAAAGAAGAAGAAAAAAATCCACTACTCGAATGGGTCGGTTTGAATTCGGTTTGCAGGGTGACATACATATAAATCACATTAATGAGACCGACATAAGACCAACGCCAGAAGGAGGCGTGATAGCTCAGTGGTAGAGCAGTGGTCTCGTAACGGGGAGGTCCCGGGTTCGAAACCAAAACGATGCGCTAGTGCCCTGTGGTAAAGCATTCATTTTCATTACCAAGTCCTTCGAAGAGGACTTAAAGACGTCGGTCCCCTGGTTGCTCAATTAAAAACATACGCGAAGAGATTGAGACAGGGAGACAAAGGGAGAGAGAGAAAGACAGGGAGAGAGAGAGAGAGACACAGAGAGAGACAGAGAGCCAAAGAAAGACAGAGAGCCAAAGAAAGACAGAGACTGAGACAAAGAGAGAGAGAGAGAGAGAGAGAGAGAGAGATAGAATGAGAAATAGAAATACAGATGATACGGGGAGACAGACAGACAACAAAGGTAGACTCACGGACAGACCGAAGTGGGGAGGGTAGAGCGCTCATTTACGTCTCGTGACCAAACTACTAAGCGAATAATGCAAGAAGCAGATGAATGGCTGTGGATCAAAATTAGATTACCATTTCTATTAATCTAATATAACCTTTCCAAAACCATCCTTTCGCCTTGCATTGTATCACAATTCGATTTGTATAATTGATCAGGCATAGATAGAAACAGGATAGAAATTGAACACATTTCCTTCTGCTTCTAAGACTATAAACTGCCTAATGCTGTATCCAAAGATTGGGACTTCCCTTTGAAAACTGAATCAGCCATATTTTATTTCCGAATTATGATCAATTTCATTATTTTAAACAAATTCTTGATCTCATTTTTTAAGTCATTTACCGCGGCTCTATATAAGAGGTAATGCTTACCAATGTTTGGGCTCTGACAAAAAAATAAAATCCGAAATGTCGAAGACATATTAAAGATCCCTATAACTAAACTAAACCAATTTTCCTCATCACAGAACTCTTTTTTTTTAAACTATCCAACCTGTCAAGATTAAATTGTTCAGTAATTTCTTCATAATTTCAAGTAATTCACCTTGTGTTTAAAAAAATTCCTTACAGTTTGCATCCGGGTTTTTTTTCTTTCTTTTTCTTGGGTGGGGGGGGGGGGGTTATGGCCATGTACAACAGAATAGAGACATCGTAGCACGATGACGGAGTAAAAATTACACGAAAGCGGCTAAATACATGCAGTACATGTAATTGGTTGATATTTGTTTTGTTTATTCTTTTTTTAATCCAGTTTAATCTTAATCTTCCGCAATTTAAAGTTTCACCTTCAAATTTCTTATCTAAAGCAATTTTAACCACACAAATAACTATAATTGTTTTAATATTCTGGCACCTTTCAGCACCTTTTCATGCTTTAATTGATTTTGTTTTCTTCACTGAACCCATGACTGTAGGAAGATCCGTTAACGCCGTTGCCAATTTACAGAACTCCTACACGTTAATCTCATCCTGCGACGTCAGCACGCTCCCCTGTCACCTGACTTTGTGATTGTTACTACAGATTAAGCACGTGTACCTAGAAAATACACATCGTGAAAAAGGTTTAACTTATTTAAATTGCCTCATAGCGTTGTCTATTTTTAACAATGAGCCTCCAAACCAAATGACTTTCAGAATCAATACTGCAAATTAAATAAACTAACCGATTCGGGCTAAAGCGTGACTTGCAGAGAGGTATACCGGTACACTAAATACATCAAACATTTTCAAACAAGAAACAGATGCACCAAAATAGAATTAGTACTGAAGAAATAATGGATATCTTCCTCTTGATAGCTGTTCAAAATACATACGAACAAGAGAGAGGGGAGAAAGAGATACGAAGAGAGATATATAATTATAGATAGACCTATAGAAAGAAAGAGTGATGTATTGTAAGAGAATGAGACATACATGGGAGTTGGAGAGAAAAGGAAATACATGTAGATAGATAGATAGAGGGAGGGAGAGAGAGAGGAATGAGAGAAAGAGAGAGAGGAGAGAGACAGAGAGAGAGAAAGAAATTTCGCAAATCCTGACTCTACGTACTTCCTTCACTCCCTCGCAGTGGCGTAGGTAGGGGAACATGGGGGACCTCCCGCCTCCAATGACAACAAAACAACAAGAACAACGAGAATTAAAGGAAAAGGAATGGAAAAGGAAAAAATAAGTTGATACAATCTAACCCCCCCCCCCTCCCCCACAAACACACACGCACACGCACACGCACACACCAATCACCAATCGTCCCTTCATTCGACGGCCGTGTTCTCTCCCATTTCATTTATTTCGGAAGACCAGTGCCGCCCGCAGGACACATGTGCCCCATCGGTGGCTGGACCCTTCCTACGCCTTTAATTATACTCTCGATTTTATTTGGATCAATTGGATCATCTTTGGATAAATTCAAAGTCATGGCCAAGGCCCTTGCGATGTCCGCTAACCTCACTCTGGTTTACATACCAAATTCTCTTGGATCAAGACAGTATCCAGTACGAAAATATGGCTGTCATCTGGTCCCCGGTAGATTCCCACTGTACTACTTGTAGCTACTTGGTCTCTCTATATAGAAAACAATGCCTAAGCGGTGGCCGTTGGTCCCCCATGGTCCTCTTTTTCTTATGTTAATTGAGAGGTGAGTTGATGAGATAATAACCTGTCAGTGACCAAACTGGGAGGTCTAATCCCTCCTGGCCAAAGTAGTGCAGACAGGTTTTAATCGAACACACATCGAAATCTTTGAGGGGATAAGTGGGGTCGAGGGAGACTTGCCTCTCTCACTTAAAAAAAAATTCTGAAAGCACAATTTCTCTAAAGAATAGTCTGCGAAATATTTTGTTAAAGCTTTGGAACAAACGATTCAGCTATGAGTGTAAACATGACGTTTTCGATAGTTTGCAGATGTTGCTGTAAGCTATTTTTTAAAGCTAGAAAATAATATCGGAGTGTGTACTTTTAATATGGCACAGAATTAGAACATCGAAACGATGATATACTTTTTAAATTTCTATTAGGGTTGGGTGAGGCATGCTAGTTGGGTAAAATGTTGGTGACGATGATCACCGTGCATCAAAGACGAAATTAGTCTGATATGATAGGTTTTTGTCCTCGGTCTTATTCTTCATCGGATTCTCGTAACTCTCTTCCATTTTATTCTTTTGTCTGATCCTCTTGTCTGTTCTAATCCTCATGGTGTCGAGAGGGTTATAATTCAAAATATACTGCGATGATAATTGCTCCGCAGTTTAAAAAAAACACTGTATACCTAATCCTAACCATAAACCAAATCAAAACCATTATCTTTGAGTAAATTAAACACACGGCAATTGTTGTCGGATTGTGTGTTGGATCAGACGATCTTTGATCACCCCTGGCAAGCTGAATAATATATACATGTACAACAAAAATGGTGTATGAACTATGCAGACAGATTTGATTTAATATGATGAACTGAAATCTGACGGAAATTTAAATGAAATGATATCGGAATCTGGCATATACTATTGCTCCTGCGGCAATTGCTCCGAGTCAATTTACTACGTTTAATAACCAACTTCTCAACTTCAACACTGTACCCAACACTATACTTCAACACTTAACTGAACCGACACCTAATCTGAAACCCAAGTGCAACCCTAATCCTAACCCTATACCTTTGACGAAGTAAAGCGCGGACCGATTATCGCCGGAGAAAAACTGTAGGGTCACATTTCAGAGACTGATCTTTTCCATTTCCATTCGTATCCTTGACAGGGCGCGGTGAGGAATGGAGTCCGTAGCCACCTTTCCCGGTGCCGTCTGGACATCGTACGATCCGTGGTACCACGTCACCGAAACACCACTCCTCGTAACCAACCTCGTCGAGTTTCAGACGACGGCGCATAACGTCTCGGACGTCGGCACGACCGACCGTTCCAACGACACGACAACGACTCTCGACATCGTGGCGCTTGTTCTCCTACCACTCGTTCTGGCAAGTATTTAACATGATCGCAAAGATTAATATAAAACTAGGCGTTGTGGCGTGCGCCTGTAATCCAGCGTACAATGGAAGTTGCAAATTAAAAGAACGAAACCTTTATCAAAATAACACATTCAGTTGGTTGTTTGGACTAAAAAGGTTTCCTACCATTGACATCGGTTTGAATCTATCCTTTTTCCCTATAAGCTATGGCATAAACTCTTGTTCGGTTTTTAACATCAACCTCGCAAATGAACGTCAATGGTTCTATGAGAGTACTTGCCGGAAGTTAGTAAGCACCTCAAAGGGGTTTAATTTGGATTTTGGGTTAAGGTATATGAAACAAGAGGAATAAGACCCAAAACGCACGGATTTATTTGACGAAATTGAATACCCCTGTCTCATTGGAAGTCTGATCAGTAGACTGAACACTCATCTACATCATGATCAAGAGTAGCTCATGAGGGCTGTCCCGTCTTTGGGAGAGCAGGGGACGGCTACCCCCGATAAATTGGGTACGATAATAATGTATCGTAATCATGAAGCACAAGCCTTTGATTAGCTCCACAACCCCCTGGCCACCCCCATCTCCCCTCCCCCGATCGTGTAGACAGATCCATGCCACTGAACCAGCCGGGGAGGGGGAGGGTGGAGCTGATTCTTCGTGGAAGACACATTAACTTTTCCTCCCCTGTTTGTATCATAGGGGATACCTAGTGTGACGCATCGGGTAATCCCTGCAACACAGACATGTCTCCTCCATCTCCGATATCCTCCCAGACCGATGCAGCGCATGTTATACACTCCTGAATGAATTATCCACCGTTATTCTCTAAGTCTTATTTAAAGGGATTTGGTAACTTTGTCTCAGATTCTGAAACAAAACCCTTGATTTAGCTCATGCTACAATGATAATTATAAACATTTAGGTCAGTCAGGATCCCCATGACTTTTACAAGTCAATCGCCTGTCTGATTATCAAGATATTTATGATTTGAAATCGAAATTTAAAAATTCGTTTTCCTAACGGTTTCTAATCACACTACAGTCAATTGGGGAAAATTGGTATGGGAAAGCCGGTCACTCAAAGATTATTACTTTTTTGAAGCACTTCATGATCATTTTGAAGCGCCAGTTTTCGATGGCTTCAATATTACACCATAGCACAGACACTGATAACACGTAGAGCCGTGCCTCTTAGATTGAACATTGTTTAACGATGCCTTTAAAGGTACTATGTCCCATTTGCAGGCCAAAAAAATGAAAAAGTTAAATTCCAACTGCATTTGAAAGATGATACTAATTTAGAACTTCCCTAAAAAAGGTGGGGCTTGAAAATGTCTTCAAGTGGGAAAATAATGACTATTAGTTGTCAAATCGACTTTAGGGCTATAGAGCCCAAAAGAAATAGTCTTGATTTTCAGCCAATTGTACCGAATGGTCATACGTTTTATGCTGCGCAAAGATTCAATCAGTTTAATCTTGGCCATCACAAGAAGTGGGTTATTGAAGTAGAAAAATGCTCCTGTACCCTTTACAACTCTTTTCATGTATGTTATTACCAAAGAAGAAAAAAAAACCAGTCATTCACTCAATAGTGTCTGACAGTGAAGTCTAGCAAGTAAACGGGTTTCCAGCATAATTTGAATATGAGGACACTGCTAACGTTTAAATTTCACAGAGAGAACATACATGACATATTCATAATTCCTGCAAAGTTCTACAGCATTTGAGGTTGGCTGCAAAAGGGACATAGTACCTTCAACGTCTTCTCTATCGTAAAACAAGGAAGTTCTACTTCCCAAAATAACATTGCTTCCTGTAACATGAGAGCTTCTTTAAACCACGTACTCGAGTCAAGACGTGTGTGTCGTCTTCTTCTACTGTGCAATACGTCACACTTTATGAATTATAATCTAAGCTGCTTTCGCAGCAGGTTTAGATTTAAAGGAAATATAATCATAATAACGGGCTACTAAACTGTTGCCACATGATAGTGTTTGGTGTGTAATGCAAAACAGTAATGCGTTAACAAAACTAATAGAAGGGCGTTATTACAACGTTCTGGACGGAACTGGAGAAAAATAATGTTGTTGTTGTATTCCAACATCTTCCTTTCTCCACCTCTTTCTCTCTCTCCCTCTCTTATTCTCTCTCTCTCTCTCTTATCTTCTCTTCTCTCTCATGCTCTTATTCCCTCTCTCTCTCTTTTATCTTCTCTCTCTCTCTCTCTCTCTCTTTCTCCATTATCTCATACTCTCACTTATTCTTTCACCTTCTCTCATACTCCTTCCCTCCTCTCTCTTACCTTATCTTCACTTACTTTGATTATTTCCCATCAATCTATCCAGCCTTCCCGTGATAATACCATCATTCAATTCTTTTACGTTATAATATTCAAACATACTCACTTACTTACTCATGTATGATATGAAAATAAAAAGAGGTGGTATTCATACACCAATAATAATAATTCCATGACAATATTTAATAATAATAATAATAATAATAATAATAATAATAATAATAATAATAATAATAATAACATAATATTCCCTGTTTTAATGTATAGCGCTCAATACATCGATCCAACGATGTGCCAAAGCGCTTTACAGGTATATTACTTTTTGAAGACAGATTTAAAGACAGATAAGTCATGTAGATTCAAATAATGAAAGATAGGAAACCGCATAATACACTTACCGAGTGAGCCCTCCCCCTCCCTTTTGACGAATATTGACATAACGTCTACATATTTGCAGAAATAATGGGCCCACCATTCATTGTCTATACACGCACCATCTATGTACAATTCTGGTTAGTGAAATAATGCATTTAGTGTAATGAATCAATTACGATAAAATGGAAATTACATAACATTTGTCAAATAACGATTAATCCTTTAATTTTTCATCTCTCTTTGCCACCATGCCCATCACAGCTATGCGGTCTCGTCGGTAACACTCTGGTCTGCATCGCCGTCTTTCGGTTTGCACCTCTTCGCATCGTCGCCAACTATTTCATCGTATCCCTGGCGATAGCGGACATGGCGGTGTGTGGTATTGTCATGCCTCTGGCCGCTATACAGGTAACCATATTGTTTGCACCTTTTTTTTAGGGGATAGAGGTGGTATAATTATATAATATTGACTGGCCTTGAGGGGTATATCAGAAATATTGACCAAGCTCAGATCATATTGCCCCGAGTCGAAAGACGAGGGCAATATGGTCTTAGCGCGGTCAATATTTCTGATATCCCCCGAAAGTAAAGCCAGTCAATATTTTGATTGTTATCCAAATCAGACATCTAGAGCAAATACAGAAATCCACCATGACAATCTCAAGAACTGAACAAACTTTTTCAAACCAGCACTGTGCATCCAGTGCTTGAATTTGTTTTCGATACACTGCAAACAGTGTGCATTTGGTGTGATTATTACGTCACAATAGATTGCGAGCAAAGTGCGCAGGTTCTCGTACGCATAATAGATGCGCAATGAAAATGACAAAATACGGCGCGGTCAATACAAGATGCCCGGATGCGAGACCGTGGAAAATACCAAGGTATATTTTCACTCGTCTCTACACGCAAAGTCAATACGCGCAGGGAGACCAAGGAAAATACAAAGAATATACCCCTCCGTTCCCACTGCTAGTAAAAAAAACTAGGGCAATACGGTTTTGTAAATGACCAGCTCAGATGTCTGATACGGGTAATAATTGATTATATCCCACATACTAAGAATCTTGCTCTACGATTGGTCAAAAGTAACTCACGTGATGAAAGAAAGTTCGCCTTTATTGATGGGAGAAGCAAAAAGTTAATTACATTGTGTAGAGAGTACTACTATCTACACAGTGCAACGTACTTTCACTGAAGATAGAGGTACTATCTACACAGGGCAACGCACTTTCACTGAAGATCATCCAAAAGCGCACTAAAACAGGCGTAATTAAGCGCGCATTACCAATGAGCACAATTAAAGAAAACACATGCGCGCACCTTACCCTCAAGGGGTTGGGTTAAACTTAAACTTTTTGTGTGTCAATTTGGGCCTAGGTGTCTTTTATGTAGATGCATACACGTCCTTTTCTTTTAGTAGTTAAATTGTTTTAGATGTGGAATATAAAGCAAATAATCACCTTTTGGTTTCAGGCGATGACAAACTATCACTTCCTCGTCGATCAGAATGTATACGCTATCTTTCCTCAGCTTCGCTTCGGAAAGATAGCTACATCAAATCGCTTCAGAAGTGATAGTTTGTCCCATCACCTTCACCAACGGTAATTATTTGCTTACTATCAGCAAAACGCAACAAAATTATAAGGGACTTTTGTATCACCGATTGCTGGGGAACATAGGGTGAAATCTGTTGGGAAATTCGAAAATGAAATTGGCAGTTTTTACTTTTCATAGCAATTTTTGAAAATATAGCGACAGCCTCTTTCTTGTTATAAATTTTCGTTCGCAAATTTAGTCTGATGACCCCCCCCCCCCCTGCTACCAATTACGCCCCTGCTTAGAAAAATGCCAAGATATATTTGTCGATATATAGGTCGATTGAAATATAGATTGATGTGCTCGAATATTATTGCATTGTCTCTGCGACTCGTCACTGATCTGGCTACTTTTCACGAAATATACCCCAGTTTTTTTCATTAATTCGGGATACCGGAGTAGGATTAAATTAAATAGATTATGGATCAAGTGAAACATGAATTAGTTCGAATACCATTCCATCGACTCCCTGGCAATAGCTGATATGGCGGTGTGTAGTATTTTCATGTAAAGCTGATGTACGGGCAACGAAAATCATGTGTTTTTTTTAATTTTTAAGTTAGGATGAAATAGTAGGATTGGTATATTATTAAGACATAGTCTAAAACTATTTCATCTTCGCCTTGGCGATAACTGACATGACTGTCTATGGGCTATTCATGCCACTTGCTGCTATATAGTTAAGTAACCCCCTCCCCCCCTCCCCCTCTCAACCCCTCTTTCAGTCTGAATGATGCACGTAATAAAGCAAACTGATGTCACGGAAATACTTGAAGAAATGGAGGGTGAGTGAGAAGGAAAGTGGTGGGAAGCAGGAAAATTGAGAAGTGAGTGAGAGATATTCGCAAGGAGCCACGTCCCCTTTCACAAAGTATGAACAATTGCTTACATTCCCAGGACAAATATTACCACCCCCACCTCCCCCCTACCCCCCCCCCCCCCCCCCCCTCCTTCCCCCTCGTAATGCTGAAGCCAGTCCCTCTCTCTCTTTAAATGATCACCTTGGTAATTATTTGTAATTAATCTAAATTACACAATGTTCCATACGGTAGTCAAGGTTGTCTTTCCTTACCATTGTTATTCTCTTCCTCACTTTCTCTAACAGGAGCTAGCTGGTGAGTGGCGCCTTGGTATAATCCTCTGCGATGTGTGGGTGTGTCTCGATGTCCTCATGAGCACGGCATCCATCTGGAATCTCTGCGTAATCGCTCTCGACCGCTACATGGCCATCACACGTCCAGTTTGGTACGCTCTCCGTCGGACACCGCTGATGGCCGCGGTTGCGATCACCGTGGCCTGGGTTCTCTCCATTATCGTCAGCATCCCCGCTCTCCTCTTCGTCGGCGGCTACGACCCGACGACGAGTAACTTTTGCGTGCTCAACATCAGTCCCGTCTTCGCCATCATCTCGTCGATGATTTCATTCATTATCCCCTGTGTCGTCGTCCTGGTCGTTTACCAACGGATCCTGGTGGCAGCGCGACATCATAGTCGACGTCGAGTTCGTCCAGCGATCATGAGCGTTTCGACCGTACCGGCGGCCACGGCCAAGGCAACGACACGTGCAGGAAACAATGGTAGCTCACTAGCATGTAGCAGTAGCGCTACCAGTAGTAACCCTACAAGTAGCAACCCATCGGCAACACCGTGCAGCAACCGCAACAACCATGCACATAATAATGCCAGTACAACAAACAGCGAGGGACAACCGAGTCTTGTCTCGTTGGACCCAAATGCGAATAACACAGCAAGCAATTATCACTTGGCAGAAATTAGTCAGGAAAACACAGATTTTAGTGCTGCAGACAAAACAAACGATGAAAGGAATCATTCTGTAAACGGAGCAAATAATGTCGGCGAAGAGGAGCAGACAGATAATAATCATTTATCGGTTAAACCGAAGTCGAAGCGTGTGACATTAATCACGGACGACGCCCCGACGACGCTGGCGATAGCTAATAACGCAATCAACCATCACCACCGCCATCCCGCGTTCGTCAGACGGCGACAAATATCAGTCTCTCGCGAACGGCGTGCCGCGTTTGTCCTCGCCATCGTCGTCGGCGTCTTCATCTGTTGCTGGTTACCGTTTTTCATCATCAACGTTCTCCTCGGGATTTGTCCGACCTGCCCCGTGTCCCCCGTCGCATTTCAAGTGGTCACGTGGCTCGGCTGGTGTAATTCTATTCTCAATCCCATTATTTATACGACTTTTAACCGCGAGTTCAGAAACGCTTTCAGAAAAATCCTCTTCTGTGGGAAATTATAGCTTGCCAGATTCATACATTCGTTATAAATGTTGTCATCTTCTTTCGTACGACTTTGGAATTCAAAAATGAATTAGAGCCTTTTGATAAGTTGTCGGAATCATGAGCGAAGTATTTTTTTTATCAGAATAATAGACTACTTTTTATGAAAAATGGAACATAGCAGCTATGAGAAGCCTGTCGAAACTAATTTTAGATGGCCTGATTTATGTGAGCTTACTGTCGGACCTCAGAAACAAGATGAAGCTTTGTCAAGAATTGTCAGATACTTGAAGGACTATTTATTTCAAAAGGAATATATACTGATTAATGACAGATTAAATACGTAAAATACTATGAGGAAGTACATTCTGTACTTCAAATATATCCACGTGATTTCATTGAATGTAAGGATAATGCCATCAAATTGGAAAAGTGAACATAGATGCCTATATTTAGCATTTCATGCTTACTTGACCAAGATTATTTAAAACAACTACCGAAGCTTGAAAGTGCCACAAAAGACAGGATAACCACTGGCGTAGCCAGACTTGTTAAAGATAAACTTGAGTTCTGGTAATGCGATTGCATTGCAAAAGAAAAGGTGTGGAATGGATCAGAAAAGTTGATCATATAGCATGTAAGTAATGGTGTGTAATGCAAGGTTCTGGAGTCATCAAAATCATCATAAATTTGGCAGAGTCTTGGTAAAGTAACAATCACTTACACAGAAAGATGTATATGGGACAACACACATGGTGTCGGGGCTAGTACTACCCTGATTTCCTTATCTTTCTATGCTCATTACTCAGCCAGTATACATTTTCTTCCAAAATTGTTTGGCACATGACATTTATTTGTAATCTTGAACATTCAGTGTAAGTTTCGTTAGATTCTGTGAGAATTCATTTTCTTTTTTTACCAGTACTCAAGTTTATCTTTAAGCATGAAGGGGTGCTCAGACTGGCACACCTGACACACTGGTGTCTTGCCCATTGAGTAGCTCGTCTTTTTATGAGCACTTTTAGCTCCCGTTTGCGAAAGAACGATCAATATTGAGTCCACCTCGGATTAATTATACACAACCTTCTGGTTGCAGGATATGTGATTGGTATCCGAAACACGGATGAGATGGGCGATTACTATGATATGGAATGTGAAATGATATGGATGTGATATGATATGGAGAGAGAGATAAAGAACGAATAGAGAGATGTACGTGGATAATGTGTGTATGAGAGAGAGAGAGAGAGAGAGAGGGGGATAGAGATAGAGCGAGAGAAGGGCATGAAAGGAGATGCGTACATTGATTGTGTGTTGGTGTAGTTGCGTGTTTTGAGACTGAGAGAGAAAGAGAGAGGTTTAGATAAAGTGAGAGGGGGAGAAGAAAAATAAATCATAATGGGAAAATATTTCTTAGAGAGACAGAGAAAGAGAGACCAGACAGATTGAAAGACAGAGAGAGATAAAGAAAGTCACAGAGAGAGAAAGAGAGAGGGGTAGAGGGGGAGAGAGAGGGGGTTAGTAATGGAGAAAAGGGTCTATACCATGTGAGTTATTAGGGAAACGGGCATTGCGCTGTTGTAGTTAAGGTTGAGTTCTGGGAAGAGGTGAAAAATAATATGTAAGCGATATCATTGTTATTATGCAAGTGTGGAAGAACATCAGATAAAGAATGTTCCCTGAAAACTGAGCATGGCTCTTCAAATACCTTAATATTCTTAATATGGCATGTAACAGCATAAACATCGGGGCGGAGTTTTATGCCACATGTTCGTGTAGTCCCATATACTTTCTGTATACAGTGCTTGTAACTTTACCATGACTGGGCCAAATTTCTTATCATTTTGATGATACCAGAACCTTGCAGTAAACACCAATACTTATCATGCTAGATGATCAACCTTTTCTGATCGATTCCACACCTTTCCTTTCAAAATGCAATCGCATGACCTGAACTCAACTTTATGTTTTAGACATTTGACTGAAGATTTGAAGGACGTCGGTTACATTTCTGGTACGGCTTTTTTTTCCTTCCCGTTAGCAAGCAATATCATCAGCATTTCTTCTCTCCGTCCGGGTCTTACGTGAATGTCTTTGTATTTTGGGTCAGCATTTTGGGGTACCCATAAAATGGCGCTAGTTTTGATTGCTACCTAATTTAATGTGCACATTTGTGCGGGCATGCACGGAGTCGATGACCGGGGTATATATAAAATATCTATCTAGAGAGAGAGAGAGGGGGGGGGAGGGAGAGTGAGGGTGGGGTGATAAAGTATCGACAAAGAATCATAAAAAATGGCCAAGAAAAAATGACAGGAGATAGTGGGGGAAGAGGGGAAGACAAAAAGCGAAGCATGACCGAGAGGAGGGATGGAGACAAAGAGATAGAAAGAGGAGAATGAAAAGAAAACATGACAGAGATAAAGAAAGAGAGACAGCGGGAGAAAGCCTGACTTAGACAGAAACAGAGAAGACAGCATAGATGGGGGAAAGAGGGGTGGAGAGAGGAGGGGTTTAGAAAAAGAAAGAAGAATGAACTCATGATAGAAGAGGAGAAATAGACATAGATATAAAGAAAGGAAGAGATAGACAAAAAGAGACGTTGTGCATAAAATGACGTGTTAGAGATAGAGAGACATGCGTGCGTGCGTGCGTGCATGTGTGTGTGCGTGTGTGTGTTTGTGTGAGAGAGATTAGGTAAGATATATATATATATATATATATATATATATATTATACACAAATATATAAAGAGTAAGAGAGAGATTGAGAAAGAGAGATAAGGATAGAGCTAGAGAGAGAGAGAGTGTGTGATAGGGAGAGAAAAAGACATAGAGCCAAAAGAGGGATCAGGAAACGCTGTGTGGATATGGTCTTTGCAATTACATGGATTATTCTGAAAGTCAATGAATACACGAAGTTGCAATAAATGAATAAATATGTATTTGAAATTCTTTACGAATTATGGATGTTCATGGTTCATGACAAATGGCGAAATAAATTTTTCAAAATGATACACATATAAATTGTTTTCCTATTTCTTTCTAATAAAACGGTTTATCAGGAGCAAAGTACGATAGTACTGTGAATTGTTTTAACACTGTGTGACAACAAAGTGCCATACTGCGTGGCCAGGATGACACACTGTAAGACAAAAGATAACACACTGCGTGGCTAATGGTAACACACAGTGTGGCAAATTATGGCACATATTTTGGCGAATGGTGGCACATATTTTGGCAAATGGTGGCACATATTGTGGCAAATGGTGGCACACTGCGTGGCTAAAGGTAACACAGTGTGGCAAATTATGGCACACATTGTGGCAAATGGTGACACACTATGTATCCGCGGGCGGGTGACACAGTGTGTGACAAAGGGTGACACACTGTAAAGCACAGAGTGACACAAATGCAACACTAGCCGCACCCTTTGTAGTGTAATTGTACCTTGATTTGGTGGGGGGGGGGTAGCCTATCCGATAGGCGTCGGGCTAAATGACCAGCCGTGTACTAATCGCGTTATGGAGACTAACATCGGCGCGGGCGTCAGCGCCGATGTCAGTATCCCAAACGCGATTAGTACACTTGCCATTTAGCCCGACGCCTATCGGATAGGCTAGGGGGTGGGGGGGGGGGGATTGGCATCACTTAAGGTGCTGCTATTGCGGAAGTTCGCACCCGTAAGGTGCCGGGTTAAAGTGCTTCGGGTGCATTGTTTGCACCTTTGAGGGTTGCAAACCGATGCAACAACAGCAGCACCTCGAGTATGGGTGCAGAATTGAACCATTAAGGGTTCTTACATGTCTCCTAAAAGGGGCAATCTGGCACCCTTTTAAAGGGTGCAGGATTGAACCCATAAAGGTGCTGCTAGTGTTGCATCGGTTTGCACCCCTAAAGGTGCAGGATTTAAATATTAAGGGTACTAACATGTCCCCTAAAAGGTTCAATCTGGCGCCCTTTCAAAGGGTGCAGGACTTAACCCCTAAAAGTGCTGTCAGTGTTGCATAGATTTGCACCCCTAAAAGTGCATACTTGCACCATTTTCTTAGTGTGTAAAACAAGGGGTGACACACTGTAAAGCAAAGTGTAACATACATTGTGACAAATGGTGGCACACAGTAAATCAAAGGGTGACATACTGTAAATCAAAGGGTGACACACTGTAAAGCAAAGGGTGACACACTGTAAGGCAAAGGGTGACACACTGTAAAGCAACATACATTGTGACAAAGGGTGACACACTGTAAAGCAACATATATTGTGACAAAGGGTGACACACTGTAAAGCAACATACATTTTGACAAAGGGTTATACACTGTAAAGCAAAGGGTGACACACTGTAAAGTAACATATATTGTGACAAAGGGTGACACATTGTAAAGCAACATACATTGTGACAAAGGGTTATACACTGTAAAGCAAAGGGTGACACACTGTAAAGCAACATATATTGTGACAAAGGGTTATAGACTGTAAAGCAAAGGGTGACACACTGTAAAGCAACATACATTGTGACAAAGGGTGACACACTGTAAAGAAACATACATTGTGACGAAGGGTGACACACTATATAAAAGTAACATACATTGTGACAAAGGGTGACACACTGTAAAGCAACATACATTGTGACAAAGGGTGACACACTGTAAAGCAAAGGGTGACACACTATATAAAAGTAACATACATTGTGACAAAGGGTGACAGGTTGTAAATCAAAGGGCGACACATTGTTAATCAAAGTGTAACATACATTGTGGCAAAAGGTGGCACACTGCGTGACAAACGGTGCTGCACTGCTAAAGCCAGGGTAATTATGCTGCATTATTGTAGAGCGCTTAGAGACTTCTGACAAAGTAAGTGTTAGGCGCTATATAAGCACTGTAATTATATATTATACAGTGTGGCAACGGGTGACACACAATGTGGCATTCATTCACAGTATAGTCTCTGAGTTCATATAATGTGACAGAGGTGTAGCGTGGGTCCAGCCAAAGAGGGAGCACTATCATTATTGTCTTTTATTATGGTCTTACACGAATAATAAAATGCGAACACCGCTATTGATTAAGAAGAGGGCGCGGGAGGGGAGGGGGTATTTTTATCATATTTGTTATCGTCCTTTTTATTATCTCTCTCCCTTTTCCCCTCTCCTCTGTTTAATGACATTATCCGAACATGATTTCAGCAACACAACGTGGTCTTCAGTACAGTTCAGTTCAGTATCATTATTTCCATAAAAATCAAAATACAAAGAATACATTTTGTTTTCTTCGTGCAAATGAGATTTGTTTTTAGCACAGTACAATATAAATGATAATACTAATAATACAAAATAAGAAAAACGTAGGATAACATGATATGAAAATGCATGCTTTGTAGAATTAATGACAAGAACATAATATTAAAAGTATAATGGAAAAGAGTGATTGGAACTGCACTTCGGTTGAATTCTTAAAAGTCTTCGCGATCTTGTTGTTTAATATTATCTCTGGCACTATTATATTTGAAGTGGGCAGTTGTCCCAGCTTTTCTACGCTACTGATCTCAGTGTTGACTAGTTGAATAAAAAGGAAATTGAATAGTTTTTTATGAAGCAGGATAAAGGTTCGAGGAGGGACTGCTCTGGTAACTTTACTTTCACTTTCTCTTCTATTTTCGTATTATGGGGGGCATTCAGGATTGCTTATTAGGCCCTATGTTAATAGCTCTTTATGCGTCACCTAAACAAAAGTAATGATAGTTTCTTTTGCCCATTAATGCCATTATCTATCTCTCTGAAGAGATATATCGTGCAACCAAACCAAAGTGGAGGTGTCGTTGTCTAGCTGTTCATTCACTAGACTCTCAATCCGAGGGCTGAGGGTTCGAAGTCCAGCCCGACACTAAGGTCTTTGTGCAAACATTAATCCACATTTGCAACACTTAAAGGTGCTGCTAGTGTTGCATCGGTTTGCACCCCTAAAAGGTGCAGGATTTAAATATTAAGGGTACTAACATGTCCCCTAAAAGGTTCAATCTGGCGCCCTTTCATAGGGTGCATAATTGCACCTTTAAAAAGGGTGCAGGACTTAACCCCTAAAAGTGCTGTCAGTGTTGCATCGATTTGCACCCCTAAAGGTGCATACTTGCACCATTTTTCTTAGTGTGTAAAACAAGGGGTGACACACTGTAAAGCAAAGTGTAACATACATTGTGACAAATGGTGGCACACGGTAAATCAAAGGGTGACATACTGTAAATCAAAGGGTGACACACTGTAAAGCAAAGGGTGACACACTGTAAAGCTACATACATTGTGACAAAGGGTGACACACTGTAAAGCAAAGGGTGACGCACTGTAAAGCAACATACATTGTGACAAAGGGTGGCACAATGTAAAGCAAAGGGTGACACACTGTAAAGCAACATACCTTGTGACAAAGGGTGGAACACTGTAAAGCAAAGGGTGACACACTGTAAAGCAACATACATTGTGACAAAGGGTGACACATTGTAAAGCAACATACATTGTGACAAAGGGTGACACACTGTAAAGCAAAGTGTAACATACATTGTGACAAATGGTGGCACACAGTAAATCAAAGAGTGATTTACTGCAAATCAAAGGGTGACACACTGTAAAGCAAAGGGTGACACACTCTAAAGCAACATACATTGTGACAAAGGGTTATACACTGTAAAGCAAAGGGTGATACACTGTAAAGCAACATATATTGTGACAAAGGGTTATAGACTGTAAAGCAAAGGGTGACACACTGTAAAGCAACATACATTGTGACAAAGGGTGACACACTGTAAAGCAACATACATTGTGACGAAGGGTGACACACTATATAAAAGTAACATACATTGTGACAAAGGGTGACACACTGTAAAGCAACATACATTGTGACAAAGGGTGACACACTGTAAAGCAAAGGGTGACACACTATATAAAAGTAACATACATTGTGACAAAGGGTGACACGTTGTAAATCAAAGGGCGACACATTGTTAATCAAAGTGTAACATACATTGTGGCAAAAGGTGGCACACTGCGTGACAAACGGTGCTGCACTGCTAAAGCCAGGGTAATTATGCTGCATTATTGTAGAGCGCTTAGAGACTTCTGACAAAGTAAGTGTTAGGCGCTATATAAGCACTGCAATTATATATTATACAGTGTGGCAACGGGTGACACACAATGTGGCATTCATTCACAGTATAGTCTCTGAGTTCATATAATGTGACAGAGGTGTAGCATGGGTCCAGCCAAAGAGGGAGCACTATCATTATTGTCTTTTATTATGGTCTTACACGAATAATAAAATGCGAACACCGCTATTGATTAAGAAGAGGGCGCGGGAGGGGAGGGGGTATTTTTATCATATTTGTTATCGTCCTTTTTATTATCTCTCTCCCTTTTCCCCTCTCCTCTGTTTAATGACATTGTCCGAACATGATTTCAGCAACACAACGTGGTCTTCAGTACAGTTCAGTTCAGTATCATTATTTCCATAAAAATCAAAATACAAAGAATACATTTTGTTTTCTTCGTGCAAATGAGATTTGTTTTTAGCACAGTACAATATAAATGATAATACTAATAATACAAAATAAGAAAAACGTAGGATAACATGATATGAAAATGCATGCTTTGTAGAATTAATGACAAGAACATAATATTAAAAATATAATGGAAAAGAGTGATTGGAACTGCACTTCGGTTGAATTCTTAAAAGTCTTCGCGATCTTGTTGTTTAATATTATCTCTGGCACTATTATATTTGAAGTGGGCAATTGTCCCAGCTTTCCTACGCTACTGATCTAAGTGTTGACTAGTTGAATAAAAAGGAAATTGAATAGTTTTTTATGAAGCAGGATAAAGGTTCGAGGAGGGACTGCTCTGGTAACTTTACTTTCACTTTCTCTTCTATTTTCGTATTATGGGGGGCATTCAGGATTGCTTATTAGGCCCTATGTTAATAGCTCTTTATGCGTCACCTAAACAAAAGTAATGATAGTTTCTTTTGCCCATTAATGCCATTATCTATCTCTCTGAAGAGATATATCGTGCAACCAAACCAAAGTGGAGGTGTCGTTGTCTAGCTGTTCATTCACTAGACTCTCAATCCGAGGGCTGAGGGTTCGAAGTCCAGCCCGACACTAAGGTCTTTGTGCAAACATTAATCCACATTTGCAACACTTAAAGGTGCTGCTAGTGTTGCATCGGTTTGCACCCCTAAAAGGTGCAGGATCTAATATTAAGGGTACTAACATGTCCCCTTAAAGGTTCAATCTGGCGCCCTTTCAAAGGGTGCAGAATTGCACCTTTAAAAAGGGTGCAGGACTTAACCCCTAAAAGTGCTGTCAGTGTTGCATCGATTTGCACCCCTAAAGTGGGCGATTGTCCCAGCTTTTCTACGCCACTGATCTCAGTATTGACTAGTTGAATAAAAAGGAAAATGAATAGTTTTGTATGAAGCAGGATAAACGTTCTAGGAGGGACTGCTCTGGTTACTTTACTTTCACTTTCTCTTCTATTTTCGTATTAAGGGGGGCATTTAAGGCTTGCTTATTACGCCTTGTAGGTTAATGGCTCATTGTGCGTCGTCTATGAAAAAGTAATGATAGTTTCTTTTGCCAATAAATGCCATTATCTATCTCTCTAATTAAAAGAGGTATTACTGTACATGCAAAATGACCCCAGTGGGTGTGTCATTGTCTCACTTTTCATTCACTAGACGACTCTCAATTCGAGGGTTGAGGGTTCGAATCCCAGCCCGACACTATAAGGTCCTTTGGCAAGACATTAATCCACATTTGTCACACTCCACCCAGGTGTAATTTGGTACCTGGCAATGTTGGGGTAATAATGATTGCATGGCCGAAAAAGCAGTATTAATACCAACGTGGCAATTACTGCAATTTAAACTAGTTACAGTGTAGAAATTCTAAAATATTATGCAAATTTGACACGTGAACTAGGAATTCACAAAATATGAACATTCCTGGAAATCCGCAAATGAATTACCCTACATGGGTATCTCCAAATATATACTTTTTTGTCATGAAGGTTTATAATGTAGTATTTCATTACATGCATTGAAACAGTTTACCGAATCGTTCTCAGAGTATCTAATTAAACATTCTGGATTTTGTTTTATTGTCTGTTTGTTTGTTTGCATGCTATGAGTTAAAGTATATTACATATAACAAAACACTTATATCACAAGAATGAAATATAATGATCATTTTACAAGAGAATCATGAAAAAGGGAAAGGGATACCCCTTTTAGAAAAGTAGCATGGAAATCAATTTAAATATAATTAAACTTTCTATTACTAATTGAGAACGAAAAATGATCGTGTCTTAATTGCCCATTGAGAGTATAGACGCATAATTAAGAGCAACTGGTCTTAAATCGCATAAATAAGTTTGGACTCGGAGAAAGTCATCATTCGTTACGTTAATTCCTTTCTGAGCATGCTTAAGGAGACGTTTATTGAGAGATATTCACATCATCATTTTCCCTTTTAGTGCTGGTATGAACTAACCATGATGGCAAGTAAACATCACCTCTTCCTCCTCCTGTTGATGGTAGCTTGCTGTGGTCTACCCTTGACAGTCGAACTCTTACTTGGAGATGCGACACCACTGACTTCATCCTTCCAACCCCGTCTTGGAAGCTCCTTTAGGAAATGCCATCAGGACTTTGAGCTGAAGGAAGCCAATTGCAAGAAGAGAGGACTCGATTCCGTTCCTCATAGCCTTTCTGAGGATATCGCGCGCTTATACTTGAAGAAGAACAATTTAAGTATTCTTTTTAACTCATCGTTTCAAAGATACCCTCTGATCACCTACCTGGACCTATCTGTCAATGATATTAGGACGATCGGATACAGGGCTTTCTATCCACTCAAGAATTTGACTTACCTCGATATTTCCGAAAATCTTCATCTTGTGCTTCCAAGTACAGGTCTATTCAGATGGGCCACAAAGCTATCTACTCTGAATCTGACTTCAGCAAACTTGAAATGGCTGCCTAATGACACATTGAAATGGATCTCAAATTCAGATACTATATCATTAAATAATAACCAGTTGTCATCCATTAATTTCAGCTCATGTGGCAGTACACGAATAGCTGACTTGTCTTGGAATAGTATTGAACACCTAGAAGCGGGAACTTTCAACTTCGCATGTCACACTGATACCCTCGATCTGATAGGTAACCCCATAGAATCGGTTGATCCTAGTGTGATTGCATCGCTAAATGTCCGTTCATTAGTGCTAGGAAGAAGATACGTAGGAGTTGAAGTTTTCAGAAATATATGCATCGGTATCTCGCGTTCTAAGATAGAAGACTTTGCATTTACACACGCCGATTTGGATTTTATTATATTTTCAAGAGGTGTCTTTGATTCACTCCGGAATCATTATTTTTCTGTTCTCGACTTCACCTGCGGCTTATCACTAGGCCTATATCCATTTATCTTCTCTGATTTGACATGGGTCAGTAAACTAAATTTAGGTCGAAACTATAATTGGGATATAGCGCCCAGCTACTTTGATGGCATGCACAAATTAAAAGTATTGCAAATGAACAGTAACGGGTTAGAATATATCAATCTTCAAAAGAAAACTTGGACAATAGATCTAGTCGAGTTGAACATATCTGAAATTTTTTTTCTCAATCATTTCAGAATATTCATTTGTCGGTTTGGATAACTTAACTCTCTTAGACTTGAGTTCAAACCCCTACCTTGTTGCCTTAGAACTAGGATCATTTACGGGACTTGACAGCATTAAAACTGTTTATTTGTCGGAGTGCAATATTGTATACCTTTGGCGATTAAACATCCCAAACTTGGAATCACTTTCCCTTAACAGCATGACCTTTACTTTCGAACCAGGAGAATCCTTTAAAGGAACACAATTTCTTATAAATTTGGACATGATAAATGTTGAACTTAGTATCTTACATTTGTGGAATGCGACTAAGAACGTTTCTCTTTTTGACGGACTGTCTCACCTTAAGACTTTGGATATGAGTGAGAATCCTGGTTTGAGAATTATCACTAATTTTCCTCCTGGGATCTTTCGGCAACTGTCTGCTTTGCAAGAGCTTAATCTAGACTACTGCAAAATTCGAACATTACATCCACTTTTATTTGCAAGACTGTATTCGCTTCAGAAGCTGGCGTTAAGAGGAAACACGATTAAGCAACTTCACTCGGATTTACTGACAGGGTTAAAGTATTTAAAAAGCATTGACCTTGAAAGGAACTTGTTAACGTACCTCGCTGAAGACATTTTTTCAAACAATAAAATACTGACAAATATTTCATTAGCGAATAACAAAATATCGCTTTTCAACAAAAGTACTTTTACACCTATTAAATCTTCTCGTTCATCTCTTGATCTTTCCGGTAACCCAATTATCTGTAACTGTGATCTGAAGTGGCTTCTTGTTTGGCTAAATGGGCCGATACGCCTCATCAATGAGGAAGCAACAAGCTGTTCATTCGCGTCAATGCTTCCTCTTCGTGAGAAACCTCTGCTCGATTTTGATGTTAACATACTTTGTACATCCGACAACATTCTCCTTGTTTGTTTAATTCCCCTCGCCGGCATCAGCGTGATTGTCATTGTCGTACTCGTTTATCACAATCGATGGCCGCTGAGATACAAATTCTTTCTCTTGAAACTAGCAGCCCTCGGGTATATGGAGATACAAGATGCTAGAGACCACAATGACTACGAGTTCGATTTGAACGTTATCTTCTACGACGATGACGAAGAATGGGTTCGACAATTTCTCCAACCAGCTCTTGAAGAACAGCTTCCACAGTTTCAGAAGAACGTCTTTGGTGACGGAGATCTCGTGCCGGGTATGCACTACTTGGATTCCGTTGACTACGTGGTGAGCCATAGTTACAAGACCATCATTTTACTCAGTACAGCTGCCGTGCAAGATCGCTGGTTTATGCTCAAGTTCCGGACGGCCATGGACCACGTGAGTGACACTCAGACCGAATTCGTAGTCGTGGTCTTTCTTGAAGACATCCCAGACGACGAGATACCTTTCCTGGCGAGGTTGTATCTCAGAGATGGCAGACCTTATCTCCATTGGACTGAAGACGTGAGAGGACACGACTATTTCTGGGACAAATTGGTCAAAACTTTGACCATTAATCTAAGGACCAATGACTTAGTCCCAAACGAGTAGGACATTATTAACTTGATGATTATTCCAATTAAAGCGATTCGTGATGTTAAAATATCACATTTCCCCCCGCATTACTGCTTAGATGAATCAATATTTCAATGTAAAGCTGCTTGCACAGATAAAATTGTTACAGTCTTAAATAGGCACATTAAGAGTATTAAGAATAGATTTCTTAATACAATAGTCATCACAACAATCATTCCTGCGAAATTCGGTGTAATAGAGTTGTCGAAATGTGATCTCACTGATTTATTCAATGCGTTTCGCGTGGTCGTTCGGATATGATGCGGTCAACCACGTTTTTATTATTTTCATTATGTGTGAACGAACGGCAAATTAAACGCCCAACAAAGGTTATAAGCTTATTCACCTAGATACACTGAAGTCATTTTTTTTGTTTTGAATAAAAAAACGAACCGCCGCGTTTTACCGCGGCACATCTGAACAAGGGTTAAGTGAGCCGCAATCTTTATTATGGTAGATACATATTCCCATCTGTGCATAGAACCACTACAGAAGTATTGATATTTGAATCACATCGTTATGTTTTACCAGTATATTGAATGTTACATTATGTATATCTTACTCAATAACCACAGTATATTATATTCATAAGCGTTGTACACTTCATAATGTAAATATTGACAATCGGGTAGTGTATAACGTGTGCGTGGTATAGCCACGCGCGGATCCACGGGGCGGGGAGGGGGCATGGCCAAAACAACTTTTAAAAAGATGGTAACGTTAATTATACCTTTTTTCAACAAAAAATGAAAACGGGCCCCTCTTCCCCGCTGGTCCCCAAAAAGTAACAAAAGTTTAGTGTTGTGTTTTTTTCTTCTTCAAAGGAGTGGGGGTGAGCGGAAGGGGGTGGATGTTGAGAAAAAAAGGAGTGTTCACCCCCCCCCCCCCCCGTTCACGCGGTGCCGCATTAAGGGGCTCAAAAACGTCCACTTTGGGCAATTTTTTTAAAAAAGGGTATATTTTCAAAATGATTCAAAATCCGGCTGTACGCGCCGGTATACGCGTTTAGGGGTAATAGGGTTTAGGGGGAGGGTAATAATTCGTCGTGTTTGCTCATACGACGGCCGCGAGAGGTAGCTTATCAAGCGCGAGTCGGTTTGAAACGATCTTAAGATCGTCGGTGGATCAAGGTGGATACCCACGATACCGACCTAGACCTACCAAGTCTCACGCCTATAGCTGGTCCCTTATATTTTGTTTCGCAAAATACAATTTACAATTTACAATACCTGTTTAGGTGTACACCCTTCTTTTTTAAATACCCGTTTAGGGTGTGAATTTGGGAAAAAACCACGCAAAACCCTCATTTAGGGTGTATTTTGCTTTCAGAAGAAATCCTCGTTTAGGGGGTGTCTGGAAAACACTTTTTTGGTGAAATACCCGTTTAGGGTGTGAATTCGGGAGAAAAACAAAAACAAAACCCTCATTTAGGGTGTATTTTGCTTTCAGAAGAAATCCTTGTTTAGGGGGTGTCTGGAAAACCTGTGGTCACGCTTGCTTACAGTATTTCTACATGACTGAGACCCCCACAAGATCAAATTTACATTTCATACAACCTATATCACAACAATATTTGTATGCATTATTATTGTTATTATTATTATTATTATTATTATTTATTAAAATTTATTTCCTTCTCAACAGTACAATATGAAACACAATGTATATATACATGATATATGTAACAACATAGAGTATAGAGTAAATAATTCAGATACGGAAGGAGGCGAAAACCCGGAAAGCAAAGCTTGAGTTGGGAACGCCCATAATAAATTAACACAGTTACCGAGAGAACATTATAGATATTATTATGAAAATTACATGTTATATAACAGAATGTTGATAGGAAAGAAAGAAAAAAATTAAATGGAAGAGAGAGAAAAAATACTTGCTTCAATAAAGCCATCTTTAATAAAGTGAACTGATTTCTTATCTCATTTATAACATAAATGTACTGCTCATCCTCATAATATGTCTTTATTATATTTTTTTAATGAAAAAAAAAGAAAATGTCTTATTAAAGGTACTATGTCCCATTTGCAGGCTAAAAAAATTAAAAAGTTAAATTCCAACTGCATTTGAAAGATAATACTAATTTAGAACTTCCCTAAAAAAAGGTGGGGCTTGAAAATGTCTTCAAGTGGGAAAATAACGACTATTAGTTGTCAAATCGACTTTAGGGCTATAGAGCCCAAAAGTAATAGTCTTGATTTTCAGACAATTGTACCGAACGGTCATACGTTTTATGCTGCGCAAAGATTCAATCAGTTTAATCTTGGCCATCAGAAGAAGTGGGTTATTGACGTAGACAAATGCTCATGTATACCCTTTACAACTCTTTTCATGTATGTTATTACCAAAGAAGAAAAAAGCCAGTAAGTCACTCAATAGTGTCTGACAGTGAAGTCTAGCAAGTAAATGGGTTTCCTTGCATAATTTGAATATGAGGAGACTGCTAACGTTTAAATTTCACAGATAGGACATACATGACATATTCATAATTCCTGCAAAGTTCTACAGAATATGAGGTTGGCTGCAAAAGGGACATAGTACCTTTAAATCTGGAAATAAAAATTTGTTGCTGTATCATAATACAGATAAGTGCATTATGTCGCTCCTCTTTTTAAACAAAACATATTTTTGAGGGGTGAAATTTGAGGCAGAAAGTACGTGAAGTACACTCCTACATTGACTGCATTAACCTGAATACTCATACAAAAGAAATGTTAATTAGCTTCCTTTTTTCGGTATCGCAAAACAAACAGAGATCTTTATTGACAAAGCTTAATTTGAATAAAGTATCATTTAAAAACAGATTTCGATTTAAAACTGTGAACGGGAAATACCTAAGTTTATTATCCATTGTAAATCTGAAACTCATGTCGTTAAAATACTTTATTGCATTTTCTGAACGAAAATCTGAATTCTTTTTCCATTTTAACGCTATATTTTTCTTTTTTCTAATGTTTTATAAATACTTCTACAGTTTTTTTTCGTCTGGTATTAAAGGAATAGTTGAGTTCTGTTTTCAGATCGCAAATGCCTTCAAAGTGCATGATTATTGCTCTTATTCTTATCTATGACATTTCTAGTGCCATTTTAGAACCTAAAATTGCTATGAAGGTATAGACCCCAAAAATGTGTGAAATTTAGCCAATACGATCATACCAATGCAGCTCCCTTTCAAAGAAATACGGCGACCTTTAATTAATTATTTAATTACAAATAATAATACACGGGCCAGGTGGTTGTGCGTAATACAACCAACACGAAAATGCCAGCAAAAAAGCCAACATCGGCATTGGCTGAAATATGTCGTAAAAGACGCTATTTCGTTTGTTCAACGGCTTTTTCAAATTATCTAATATTTGTGGTGGTACACAAATATTAGAAATCGTTATATTTATGGATATTTCAGCCGCCTCTGAACCGATTTTGATCAAACAAAGATGATTTTGTCATTTAAATTGTATGTTCTTTCAAATTTGACACTCAGCTTTGTATTATCTCACAAAAAATATTTTGTGTAGCGCCCTCTGCAACACTACTCAACTATCCCTTTAATACTGAAATATATGGTAAAAAAAGTGGTTCGCACATTCTATGTTGAATTTGTCCAGGTTTGAAGTGAATGAGCATCGGACAGCTTGTCGTAGTGAAAATACACTGTAGAAATCAAGGCTTATATTAAACTTTGATTTACATTGAGGAATTTAGCGACAAAATAGATTCCTTCTTTACTTATTAAATCATTAATAAACATAATGCCATTTCCAATGATTTGAAGAAGAAAAAAAAGGTTTTCCAACGATGTGTCATTAACTAGATCTATTTCTCCATAAAAGTTGCACTTACAAATTCAAGTTTTCTGTTGTTTATATGAATGAAGAAATTGAAAATAAAGACAAAATTGAGAATTTTTTTTTTTTTTCGAGAACGAGTTTCGAGTTTTTTCAAAGTAAATGTCTCCATAAAATAAGTGGGAAGGCCAGGTGCCGGAACATAAAGTGCTATATTTGTTTCTTGGCTAAAAGTGAATTTCGATGAAAACTTAAACCTAAACGAAAAACCAGGATGATTATTGGCAACGTAATGCCCGAAACTCCTCATTTTCGCGTGTATTTTGATTGCGGAATAATATATTTACTACAATGAAAGACAAAGAAGGTTCTTATTTCAATACGAATTTAAAATCCATTTTCTTACGCGAATCCTACCTGTTTTCATACAAACTAGTATTACAATTTAAATAAATGTCTACTCTTTTATTCCGATTGAATCTTAAGAAATGTCTATCACTCTGAAGTTAGGATAATAAGTTTGAAGTTTAGTAAGCCAAGGAATGGTTACATCTGGACCAGAATAAAATCGTTGTGCTAGCGGCGTACCGGGTTTCCACGGCGTGTACTCTTTGGAATATCCTAGGACAAACCGGATTCTCCCCATCAGTCCCTTCTCCCGGAGGAGACGTAGAAAACTCTCCAAAAAATGGATGCATCCACTACAAGGAGATAAGAATGTGAACAGATGTAATGTGTGCATTTATCCGTCCGCTGGCGGCCATTTTGAAGTGTTAACCCGACTGCTTAGCCAGTTCAGTATCAGCTTTTCGGCGTGCGCGTTCCGGCTACCTGAGGTACTGGCTTCTCTCGGGCATGTAGCCATGAATTCGTCGTCGACGCACAGCCCCATGTTGTCGGCTAGTTGGCGTCCATGTGGGGGAAGGGGCGAACGACTGTCATGATCGTAGCGCACCCGGTCGAGGGAGACCCCTGCGTAGGTCTTCCAGGAGCTTGCTGAAAAGCGATTCGCCAGGCTCCTGGACAAAACCCTAAGAATGAGGTCGTCGTGATGCATCGATGCTGCTAAAGAAAAAAACCCAGATATTTCTTATTCGTAATATTTTCATAAGCCCTATACACACTGGTGGATTAAAGGAGTCATTGGAAAATTAACCCCCGAAATGTGCCCCTTTC